ATGAGGTAGATAAGTACATGTATAATTAGTTACATACAGAATAAATACAACACTATTTATGACTTGACTTGGAAGGAATGGCATTAGCAGCTGGGGGGAATCAGGAAAGGCTTCATGTAGAAGAAGCTGGTACTTGAGTTGCATCTTGAAAAAAGAGAGCGCTTCTATAGGTAGAGGTTGGGTGCATTGCAGCCAGTGCAAAGACAGAAGTACAAGCAATGGAATGTCTTGTGTGAGGAACAGAGAGAAGAGGCTTTGGCTGGACTGCAATATGTAGGAAGAGGAATAATATAAAATAGTTTGGAAAGATAGGCTGGGGCTAAGTTGTAAAGTATTTAAAAGCTAAAGAGAGGAGTTTATATTTTATCCTAGAAGCAACAGGAAGCCATTGGGACTTGCTGACTAGAGGAGTGGCATGAAGAGATCATCACTTTCAGAAAATCACTTTGGTAACTGTGTGGAGGATGATAGTAATGGAGAGAGATTTGGGCAGCAAAAATATTTAGGAGATCCATGGTAGACAAAAGGTGTTCAGGACCTGAGGGCATTGACTCTGTCAGTGAAAAGAAGGAATCAGATGCAAGAGATATTGTGGAGGTAGAAGAAGCAAGATTTGGCAACTGTGTGGAACTGTGTGCTGAGGGAGAGTAAGGAGTTTTGAACTCTGGAGACATTATCTTTCCCCTTGACATCCCCCACTCCTGCTTTCCCTATCACTGCAGAGAGCAACACTATCTTCCCAGGTTCTCCGGCTAGCAACCTAGGCATTATCCTGGACTCCTCACTATCTTTCACCACCCATGTCCAACCTGTTGTCAAGGGTTGTCAATTCTGCCTTTGCAGCATTTAGCAAATACATTTCCTTTTCTGAAACTGGTACAGGCCCTCCTCATCTTCACACCTGGACTACAGTCACTACAATAGCCTGCCGATGGGTCAACCTACCTCAAGCCTCTCCCTATTCCAATCCTTCCTGCAATTAGCCACCAAAGCGATTTTCCCTAAAGCACAGGTCCAACCATGTCACTGCCCTACTCAATAAATGCCCATGGCTCCCAATAGCCCTTCAGGATCAAATACAAAATCCCCTAGCATTCAAAGCCCTTCATAATCAAGTGCCCTCACACCTTTCTAGTCTTACCTTATACCTTATGCTTTACTCCCCCACCATGTACTCTCTGACTCTGTAACACTGGCTGACCTGTTCCATAAACAGGAACTCCATCTTTAGGCTTCTGGCACTTTCTCTGCTTACTGGTTTCCCTGGCTTCCTTTAAGACCTAACTAAAATCCCATCTTCTACAGGAAAATTTTCTAAAGCCCCTTTAATTCTAGTGCCTTCCTTCTTTTAATTATTTCCTATTTATTCTGTATATAGCTTATTTGTTCATATTTGTTTGCTTCTTGTCTCCCCCATTCAATTGTGAGTTCTGTGAGGACAGAGATAGTCCTTTGCCTCTTTTTGTATCCCCAATACTTAGCACAATGCCTGGCACATAGTAGGCACTTAATAAATGTTTACTGACTATTGACTAGGTATATGGTGTGTCATCAACAGAATTAGGTAAGTTTGGAAAAGTGATGGGATTGGGAAAATAGATAATAACTTCTATTTTGGACATACCATGTTGGTGATATTTCTAGAGTATCTAGTTTGAAATATCCATTATTCATTGGTGATATGAGACTTAAGTTTAGTGGAGAGACTGGGTTGTAAATATAGAGTTGGATGCCATCTGCATGGTAAAAATAATTACACATTTGGGGCAGTCAGGTGGCTTAGTGGACAGAGCATTGGCCCTGGAGTCAGGAGGACCTGAATTCAAATCCGGCCTCAGACACTTGACATTTACTAGCTGTGTGACCCTGGGTAAGTCATTTAACTCCATTGTCAAGCAAAAAAAAAAAACCAACAAAGCAAAACAACAAAAAAAATAATTACACCTTGGGAATTAACGAGGCCACCAAGAAAGAGTGTATAAATAGAGAAGAGGGCCAAGGACAGACATTTGGGCAATATCCACAGTTCTGGAGTATGATGTGGATGAAAATGAAACAAAGGAGATTAAGAAGGAGCAGAGCAATTAGACAGGTGGGGGGAGGAGAAGAAATAAGGAGAGCAAAGCCATGAAAAGCTAGAGAGGATCAAGAATTCAGAAGGAGAGGTCAGCAGTGTCTAACATAGCATACAGGCCAAGAAGGAGGATGATGATGAAAAGACTAACATGTTAGTTAATTAAAGGATGTTATCTTTGGAAAAGGTGGTTTCATTTGAGTGATGAGTTTGAAGGTCGGGTTGTAAAGAGTTGAGAAATGAGTGAGAGGAGAGGAAGTAGAGGTAGCAAGTATGTACAGTTTTTTCAAGAAGTCTAGCTGAGAGAGAGAGGAAATACATAAGATGCTAGTTGGAGGGGAATATAGAATCTAATGAAGACTTTTTTTTTTCTTAGAGATGGGAGAGATTTGAGCTTGTTGGAAGGCAATAGGAAAAGAACCAGTAGAGAAGGAGAGGTTTAATATTAGAGAGAAGGGGGATGACTGAGGCTAGAATCAGTGGGAGAAGACAGAAGGGGATGGGATCAAAGACACATGTCGATAGGGTTTGCCTTGGCAAAAAGAGTCATCTCTATTTCAGAGACCAAAGGAAAAAAAGAGATGATGTCAAGAGGCTTGGGGTGATAAAAATGAATTTAATCTTCTCAGCAAATTAAAAGGCAGGTCCCCAGCTAATAGAGAGTGGGGATGGAGGTGTGGGAGGCTTGAGGAGAGGAAAGAAGGTTTGGATTGTTTCTTTGGGAAACGAGAAAAGGAATCAACTACAGAGGAATAAAAGGATGATACTTAAACTGTTGACTTCACGGTTTAAGCAATGAAACTTTTCTAAAAAATAGAAATAACAAATCTACCTGTGAATTATTCTTTAAAAGAATGAATCACCTTGTCATCATGTATTACTATTATCAACAATAAAACTGACACAGACATTCTAATCAGAAGTACAAGCTAGATAAAACGAGTTTGGCTGTAGTGAAATCCATTAAGAAAAATAACAATTTCTTTTCTTTCTCTCTAGTTCTACGCTGCAGATACAACAGTGGTGGTTACTGGCCACCGACAATAGCAGCATAAGAGGTGAGTTCTAGTATGATGAACTCATACTAGCAGTGAAAGTGGATGCAGCTTGCTTTTGTGGGTTAAAGTCCTCACTGTGTTATCAATCCAAAGATTTTTATGATGAAATTGGTATGAGAATTTACTTTGAGGTGTACACATTATTTCCCTTGATAGAATGGAAGTTCTTTGGGGGAAAGAAAATTTTGGTTTTGTCACTGCATAACAGTGCCCGGCACTTAGGAGACAAATAAGTGCTTACTGAGGGATGAGTTGGTTTCACACACTAGGAAGGAATGGGCAATACTTTGGCAGCTCAATGGTTGTGGTTCAGTTGTTTTTAGTCATGTCCAACTCTTCGTGATTCCATTTGGGGTTTTCTTGGCAAAGATACTGGAACAGTTTGCCATTTCATTCCCCAGCTCATTTTACAGATAAGTAAACTGAGGCAAACAGGGTTAAGTGACTTGCCTAGGTCACACAGCTAATAAGTGTCTGAGGCCAGATTTAAACTCAGGTCTTCCTGACTCCAGGTCCAGCACTCTATCCACTGTGCTATCTAGCTGCCCTTAAAAGGTATACTAAAAGATTTTAAGTCACCATGTGCTTTCATATATTTTGACAAAGATGAGCCTATGAAAATGGCCATGGTTTATTTCTGCTGAAAGACGGCTCATATGATTTCATACACAGATTCCAGTACAAAAAGGAAGAGAAGAAGGGAAATCATGAAGACATTACTGTACAGCAATCTGGCAAAAAAATAAAATGAAATGAAATAAAAAATAGAAAATCATTTCAGGAATAAGAAAGGATAAAAAGCCAAAGGAACATCTTCAAAAACTGCTCAATAATTACCAAGGTCTTAATTAAGCAACTGGGGCTCATCAGGGTATTACATATGTAGTCAACTGTCTTCCTTACCCCTTATCCCTAAAGGATTCTGAGTGCATCTTAAAATGCCCCCACCCAACTGAGGCATCACCTCATTTAGAGAAAAGAGGAGGTGGAAGGAGCGAGCCAAAACTATGCGTTATTTTTATAGCCAAACTTCAACTGTTGGATGTGTTATTTCACTGACATATTAACAAGCTGCAAGTGACTCAAAGTTGCACAACTGCTATAACTACCAAAGCCCACACACTGCAGTCCCATGGCACTTTACCTGTCACCTAAAAAAATGTTTCAGGATGAACAACTAGAAGAAACACTGATGTAGAAGGGAAAATCTTCATGATGGCTCATTTCAACAAGAAGGTATTTATATCTGCATGCTTCACCAGCAAATGAACCAACCGTACCTTCTCCATCCACTGCTTACAAAGGTAAACATCACAGCAGATATTAATGTCTCGTGCCCTAAAATTTAAAATGTCTGGATTATGCAGTAAAAATAAAGTGGTACACTCATGATTTTCAGCCAAGATTGCGATATTATGTATGTATGTATGTATGTATGTATGTATGTATGTGTGTGTGTGTGTGTATGTGTGTGTGTGTGTGTGTGTGTGTATATATATATGTATATTAAATAACAGATATATATATATATATATATATATATATATATATATATGTATGTATATTAAATAACAGATATATAGGTCTGTGTGTATGTGTTTTACCAGTCATCACAGCCTCAAGTAGAATGTTTACTGGCTCAGATGCATGTAGATCTGTGTGTATGTGTTTTATCACTCATCACAGCCTCAAGTAGAATGTTTACTGGCTCAGATGCATGCTTTTCTTATTTAAATTAAGATAGAATTATTTTGGAATAGAACCTTCTCCAAAGCAAAGGGCTGTAGGCCTCGGGTGGACTTTACGGCAATTACTTTTCAAACTACCCTTGCACCTAAAGTAAAACCTGACCTCTTTCTTTGTCTTACCTTTGACATGGCTTCTCCCATCCTCCAGCAACGGCACTACTATAGTGTTGTTCATATTTCCAGGTGACCGCACTGCTGTATAGACAACAGGCACCGACTGTACCACCACTGGGATGCGGTGAACGTGACTCAGTTTGTTAGACTGTAAATTCATGGGGCTTGAAGGTGGTACTGGATGGATAATGTGCAAAAACTGCTGGCCTCCCACACCAGATGCAGAGGCCACAAGAGGCCCTGGAGTTAATACTGTTGGCGCAGATGATGCTGAAGATACTGACGTGATAACGGTTGGGGATGAGGCTGGACGACTAGAAGACGATGATGAAGTTGAAGTAGAGGAAGGAGAGGAGGCAGAGGCTGTCATGGAAACTGGGGAGGATGAAACTGCTGTAGGGGATGTCCTGGCTTTGTTTATGGACAAGTCCACTGGCTCAGTTTGTGTTTGGAAGTGATCTGTGGATAATGAGTCCTCCGGGGGCTCCGTTTTCATGTTATTTAACAAGAGGGGAACAGCTTCCATATCTGGGTAGTTGTGGACGTTTGGAGACTGTGGAGGGAAAAATAGAATATTAATTTCTTTTTTTTTGCCTGTACCTTTTCATAGGTATATGACTAGAATATGTGAATGATTACCTTTCTTCATATTTCTATGAGAAATCTAACATTTTACACAGCCTATCAGAAAAGCTCAGGATAATGTGTAATCTCAAAAATAACAAGAGGATGACATATTTCAATCAAACTTCACATAGAAATACTTACCTGACTTTAAACAAGATTTTCTTGGTTCTCTCAACTCACATATCACCATAAGGACCAAAAAATAGAAACTGAAGATATAGCAGAGAGAAAACGCTAAGATGTTTCTATTTTACATTCTGCAAGATACTGCCAGGATATAAGTTACTACCTGGAAATAAATAAGGCAATTAGGGAAGTGCAATAACTCTTTCAAGCCCTGTGAGTACTACTGAATGCCAGGGAAATATAAATTACTAAATACCCTGAAAGGCATCTAACTTAATTTTAGATTATAGCTTATACACAAAACAACATGGTGGGACTAAATTCATAAATGGAGATCACAAAATATTGTTACATTTTTAAAAAAGGATACAACAGTGAAAACATGATTGTTTACGTGCAAAAAAAGGAAAAGAGCCTCCAATTAAGTCTTACTCTGATGAGTCATTGTAGTATACATGTGACCATGGGTTCTCTTGGGTTATACCAGTGGAGCTTAAGTTCTGGTAGGTTCTATCAAACTGAAAACGTTTCTAGTTCAAACCCAATGAGAGACACTTGAAGTGTTTCACTTGAGGACCAAATCGGTTTCATTCGCAATGGCTCTTTACCAAGTGATGAATGTTTTGGTCACAGAACCCCCTCCAGGCCCCCTCCGCCCCCCGCCCAAGATCATGGACTATATCAAATAGCTGTGATCTGCATTGGTTAAGGGAGAAACTACACAAATGGAATCAGGGATTCTGGACATGAAGAAATAAGGGAGGCCCTTTCATTAGTAATTTTTGTGAGAAATAAAACTATTGCTCCAATTCTGAAGGGGAGGAGGAGGAAAGTCATCCTTTAAGTGTAAGGTAATCCATAACAATGTCGCCTATTAGTTTAGCCATTAAGAAAAAAGAAAACTATTTTGATTTCCCAGTTTATTTTAATTGCTGTAGCTTTTCAAGAGTAAATGAATTAATTTTCTTTGTAAAATGGCAACAAAGATCAGATTCATTGATTAAATGTTAGTCCCTTAATGTATCTCCTAAAGTCTAAGGTCATCCAGCACGTGTAAATTGGATGTGGATCCAAAATTTAGCCTGACTAATTTGCCCAAGACTAAGTAAATGATTCATAAATTGGTCATTTCCAGGATACCCACACATAGTGGGGCCACATAATTTGTTCTAATGGATTAGACAAGGTCAAAAGTTTTAACACCATCCATTTTGGTCATGATCATACAGACTTGGTGTCCAACAACTTCCACTGAATTAAGAACAAATAACCTCAGCCTTCATTATGATAGCAAAGCAATGATGTTCAAATTGAAATGAAATTGGTTCATTTTACAATTTGTTTTGAATAAGAAGTACTATTCTCTAAAACTGGGATACCCTTACAGTGATAGAATATATTTTGGTTAAACATGGGATTCTTTGTTTTTGTAAAAACACAGCAGTTCAAAACACAATAGTTACAAGTACAATATTACATAGAATTCAACTTCCCAAAATTAAAAATAGAAGAAGAAAAAATTGAAGCTGACAATGGTAACAGATCAACTAAAAATGGAAATGTGTTGGTGGTTTGTTATTTTTTTTCTTCTAAGCTAGCATGATTACTTCCACAACCTTACATATGCAAGATGAAATCAAAATGAACTATCTAAAAGAAGATATTGAAGAAATTTTCTAAATAATGTTTTAAGATTTATTCTTAAAATGTAGAAAACCAATTGTTTTATAATCTTTTCAAAAGCACTTAAAAACAAATATCACAAATATCACATCACACAAGATTTTTTTCTTTATAAATTAAGTGGCATTGTCTAGTATTTTCTAATCAAAATAGTATTCTATTTTTGCAGCTTATTAGGTCTTTCTAGGTCTCCCCAGTACCTGTTCTCTGTCTGTCTGTCAATCTCAAATTTACCCTGCATTTGTTTCATAAATATTTTGATATGCTTATCTGTGTATACGTTTTCTCCCCCATAGAAGGTAAGCTCCTTGAGGTCAAGAACGTTTTTTTTATCTTTGTATTCCCAATGCCTAGCACAGTTCCCGACATGTAACAGGCAGCTAATAAATATATTAATGTATTTTCAGAATGACTTTTAAAAATCCCTTATTTTTAGGTTATGAATTTCAACATATCTAGAAAAATCTCCAGAGTCTGCTTAAATGTGCTTACCAACTTCTTCAGATTTCTTAATGTATTCTAGATTCTTTCTAAACTACCTCACTCAACTGAATATACTTTGACTTTATAGCTCTGATTGTGCCTTTTCATGTTTCCTTGCCAATAGACAAAACCAAAAAACTTAATATAGAACAAAACAGTAGTTTCCACCAGAATTTTTCTTTTGCTTCCCCATGTTTACATCTCTAACACCTAGAAGCCACATGTTTTACATTTGTTTGCAAACAAATGAGCATGGTTTGATTTTTCATCATATCAATACTGGGTCATACATGAGGGGAGGGGAACAGAAAATTACCTTAAGAGATCACAACAATGCAAGGTAGAAATGGGCTGGCAAATATTGAGCTTGAGTCTATCTATGTCTGCCTATTAAAGATAATGGAGAGGATTATCCTCCTTAAGAAAATCACTCCCCTCATTACTAAGAATCTACCCTTTGGAAATAGCATCAAGAATCTTCCTCATAGACATTATCTCTTCCTTTTATAATTTTTCAACAAGAGAGTGGGTGTGTCCCTTTTACAAGCATTTTTGAAATCTTAGAGAACTGGGTTGCTTTTGTAGGGGCTCAGGACCAAAGATAGAAAACAATTATATACATGAGGAGGGATGAATATAACCTTTGGACTAAAAAAAAGTGTCTCATTTGGTATCTTGGGCAGATTATTCATGGATCCCTAACCACTAACATAAAAAAGACACATGCTGGCTCTTTTTTTCAAATGGTTGAAATGTGGCCAGAACATTCAAGAATAACATTTCTACAGAAAACAGGGACAAAGGTCTTGTTATATTAGCTCTCTGTTAGCACAATGGTTATAGTATTATGTCTTGGCAGCCCATACTAATCTCTTACACTGTGAAATATGGTCAGCACAGCCTACTAACTCTAACTTTGAGCAAACTATATACATTTATACATCCTATATAATGATATAAAAAGTGATTCAATGAAACATACAGCAGATCCTTAGTCCTTCAAATAAAAAGTAAAAAGTACTGCAAGGTTATTTTTATTACATTCCTTTTCTTCTTTTTCAGTGGAAGGTATGCCCTAAATAATTCTACACAAGAAGCTATAGCAGGTGAAGAGTACACAAAGGGGAAAACAAGGAAGAGAACAACAGATTTACAGAAAGGAAAGTTTAGATGAGGGGTGGGGAACTTGGGACTACCAGGCCATATGTGCCCCTCTAGGGTCCTCAAGTAGAGCAGAATCCAAATTTCACAGAATAAATCCCCTTAATAAAAATATTTGATCCCTATAACTTGGACTGAGTTAAAAGGCTGCACCCAAAGACCTAGAAGGCCTCAGGTTCCCCACCCCTGGTTTAGACTATAGAATGAGAAATGGTTAGAAGAATGCCTTGAAGCTGAATGACTCATACATATTAGACAAAGTGAGAGACAAGTCTGGAGCATCATCAAAAGAACTGAGTCTCTAAGAAAGTAGCTGAAAAATGTAAGTGAAGTGAAGAAAGTGTTAAGGATGTAAGGAAACACAGAATTGCTTCTTTCTAAAGTTTATTCTGTCTAGATAAGTAGCATTCCCCAAACATCTGCTATCAAACAAACAGGGAAGGAACGAGTAGTAGCCATGTTGAAGCAAGGAATAGTTTGGTCTCAGAATCCAAGATGTTTTCACAGGCTTATAAATTTGGAACTAGAAGGAAATCTTACAGGTCATGTACCATACCAATTCCTTTTTTTTTTTCTAATGATGTCTTCACTGCCAACACTTCAACATCTAATCAGTACAGTGATACATGAGAAAAAACATTAGCTTTAGAGACAAAAGATTTGTGTCTCACATTTGGGCACTGACACTTAATAGCTACCTGATCTTGGTCAAGGACCTTAACTATTCTGAGCTTTACTTTCCTTGTTTATTAAATGGTAATAATAATACTTACACCACCAACTTTACTGGATGTTTGTAAGAAAAGAAAATTTTAAACTTTTATCCTGAAATGATCATATATTATTAAAGGAATGCTAGATTATTATATATTACCTCTAAATCACAAAAATGAAGACTACTATTCTAGTAGCAATGACGGTGGTAAGAATTGGATCTGAGCCAACTGGAATGAGCATAATTGCACTCACTTCGCAATAAATTATATAGTAAAATAACCTTAAAAGAGCCAATAAAGCTTGAAAATTTCATGAGATAACTACACAAAGAAATTCTACATAACATGAGAAAGCTACCTCTTGACTGGTAGCAGGGGCTTTGGGTAGAAGAGGAGGGTTAAATGAAATCTGACAGTAACCCTAAATATAACTAAAGTATAAGTATACGTCTACTAAATACATTTTTTCCATAGTTCTGAAAGTAAGTTTTGAAAGAAAGTTTTAAGTCAAATTGAAAGAGCTGGTTTAAAATAATTAAATTATTCTAACAAAAAAGTAAACCTTGTACTATTACTGCATCACTATCTCAACATACACTGACTCTTAATTTGCTTAGTGACTAATTTTTTAACGTAATGTTACCGTATTTTAAGGAAACAAAATACGGCCCTTTTCTCATGAAGGAATTATTTTTAAAGTAAATTAAAGAATTTAGTACTAGTATTTATTGAAGAATTATCATCTGCTTGTAATCCT